TTTTCAGTTCCTATCTGTACCAGTGTACATCCTCTGTCTAGCAAGGTAGAATTTCTCCTAAGTATCTTAATAAGACCCAATGCACAGGGCATTCACTCTCTGTTGTTCTTAGTGGCATCAGCAGTAGCTGGTGCTGTCAGCGCCAGCCATGGCCGGATGAAAGCCCAGCCCGGCGTTCCTCCCTGAGCGCCTTGCTCACTAGAAGCGAGTGACTGTGAACTGTTCGCAACGTGTGTTTTCTCACCAGCCAGTATTTCCGAGAGTCTGTCCTCAACGACATCAGGAAGGCTCGGAACCTGTATACCGGCAAAGAGCTGGCCGCGGAACTGGCAAGGATTCGGCAGCGTGTGGATAACATCGAACTCCTGACAGCAGATATCGTCATCAATCTGCTGCTTTCCTACAGAGACATCCAGGTGAGAAGATGCGCGGAATCCACTCGCTGCCATGCAGCATGTGGGAGACACGAGAGTGTGAACTTCACCACGTGCCCTGAGCTATTAAGAAACCCGGGTATGCTGGTGGCAGACTGGACCACGTGGCGCAGTGGGCTGCTAACTTTAAATCCACTGTCCGATCCATGGGAGAAAGACGAGGCTTTCTGCTCCCGTAAATATTTACAGCCTTGGAGGCCCGCAGGGGCAGTGCTGCTCTGTCCTGTAGGGTCGTATGGAGTCAGAATGGACTTCATGGTAGAGAGCTTTGGTTTTTGGAATGAATATTCCATATTTCTGGTGTGATTTCGTCATTGTTCCAGACTCTCCTAGCTGTCTATCCCTTGATTTGGGGACCATGACTGGAAAAAAGACGAAGTGAGGTGCTCACCAGCAGTTGTGGAGGCTCCTGTGGTAAAAGTCTACAGTCTCCTCCGAAAGCACTGAAAGTACAGCTTCAGGCCCCTCTCGCCCCTGTGCATACCTGCGCTCGCCGGCCAGCCTCAGCCACATAGGCTGGTCAAGGCAGTAAAGCTTTGCTTTGGCAAATAGCAGGCATTTTTAGGGCTTGCTCAGCATATTTTTTTTTTGCCTCTTGGAAATGTGTTTCTTGGAATTGATAGGGCTGGGTCGAACTAGCTAGAAGTCGGTAGGAGGGAGCTTGAAAAGTTTCTGAGAAAATTCCATCTTTTCCCTTCAGTTTTATGACACACACCTTTTGAAGTCTCATCTGCAACTGCTTAATTGTAAAGATAAAATTTTAAGTGTGTATATTATATAAAAAAGGCTTGATCACTTCATGTTATGTCATTTTCATCGATGTCAGGATTTTTAAAGACCCAGGAGAATCCATGCTCTGCGGTTTGCCCGGTGGGTCTCTGCAGGAAGCGCTCATTGGCTTCGAGCTTTTTGCCCCCAGGGCGAGCCGCTCTGGGCAGTGGAAAGTGTCACGGGAGCAGGAGAGCTGCGTCGCCCACAGGCCTGTGGGGCTCCAGATCCATGGCAGGCCTCATGCTGAACTGAAAGGAAATGTTGTGATAGTTATAACAGACGTGCAATCAATTATTGCATGCCCTTGAGATGATTTCCCTGAAAGTAATTGATAGGACACTGGATACCAAGGACTTTGACTCTACTTGGACCACATAACATTCTCATGCTGTCCCCCGCCGCCCCAACCCACCCCAGATGTGGTAACTTTATATTTAATAGACGTGGTAATATACGCATACACATATTTACATGTTGTTATGGCTGCTCACTGCTGTCCACTCAGCCCTGGCTTATGGTAGCCCCATGCAGGACAAAAGGAAATGTTGCCCACCCTGGGCCCTCCCCATGATCTGCTGCAGATCTGACCTCTGTGGTCCATGAAACCTTCATTGGATGATGTCCAGGCGTAGACCGCCAAGCCTTTCTTTCTAGTCCATCTTAGTCTGCAAGCTCCACCGAGCTTTTCCACCATCAGAACAGCACAGTTCTGGACTGACAGTTGGGTGGTAGCTGGCTATACATGAAGTATATCAAGTAAGAAACTGAGGCTCCCACACGGAAGGCAAGAATCCTACCAGTGAACCACCACGGCCTTGAAGCACATATGTACATATATGTGACAAAAAGCATTGCTACTAGGACTTCGTATGTACATGGGTTTCTTCCAAACAAAGCACGCGTAAACATGTCTCTGCAACCCGTGAATGGCTGCAGAGATGCTCTCGGAGTACTGCACTTCCTTTCATTAGAGTGCCTTCAAAGGACAATCCAGGCTGAACAGTAGCTCCAAGGGAGCTGCTCCATCCAAGATCGAGGCAGAGGTCAGCGCAGAAGGTTATGGCAGCTGTTTTCTGGGATGTCAAAGGTGTGCTC